CCACACCCTAGTCGCTTTCCGAGCCGGTCAGCAGATTGGAGTGAAAAATGGGCACGGAGGCTGCATGGTTGACTGACCATGACTTCGCGCACCACGTGCACGACCCGGCCCCCCATACGCCCGCACACACAAACACAACGGGACGAACTGCGTGGAACGAGTGAGGGCATCAATCAGCAACCTTCCTATCCACGAAGCTTGGTGTTCCGAAAAAGTCTTAGACTGAAGTCACCCGTGCATCCGAAGCCGCATAGGGACCGAGTCGAGATGCACACTTCCCAAATGCGTCGGAGGTGGCAGTTGGGTGCTTGAAGTGTGCGGATGTTGATGTGTGGTGGTGGTGGTGGTGGTGGTGGTGGTGGTGGTGGTGGTGGTGGTGGTGGTGGAGGCAGGGAGTGCGGGTTTTATGGTGTGGTGTAGCCGGCGGTTGTCTACCGCAGGTCGTCGTGGATGCGCATGTGGCCTTGTAGACCCATGCGATGCGTGAAATTGCGAGGGCAGTGTGGGCCGTGGAGGCGAGCTTGGCGGGTATTGGTTTGTGGTCCAGGCACTGGTTCGTCAGTCTCCGTGGGATGAATTCGCAAGTGACCGATCAGGCGGATGAATGTGCGGTCGCAGTGAGAGCAGGTGAATTCCTGTTCCTCACCCCTGGAGTCGGAGGTTGGCGGGATGATGTCTGTTGTTGTGTCATTGATGTGTGTGATGCTGGTGTGATTGAAGGCCTCAAGCGCAGCCGTGGTTGGTGCAGTGGGACAGGAGGAGGAGCAAGAGACAGGGAAGGGGAGGAGAAGAAGGAGGAGAAAGGAGGAGGAGGAGGAGGAGGAGGAGGAGGAGGGGGAAGACGGAATTGATGGTTCAGAAAAATTGTCAGAGTCAGTTGGTTGCGGAGAGGACGAGGCACAGGCGGGCAGAGGGGCGGCGGTTGGTGCGGTATGGGAGGTGCAGTTGGTCCGAAGATTTTCAGTGAGTCCAGTTCGTGCCCGACGTGCCTGTTGACGCCGAGGACACTTTGGAAGCGTTGGTGCGTCGGCGTTGCTGACGGGGCGTAGTTGTAATTTGCCTGCTTCGCGTTTCACTTTGGCAGCGGCGATTCTGTTGGCCTCATAGATCACAGTGCCTGTCTTCACTTTCCCTCTCTCGGTCGGTCGAGGACGAGCTCTTCCCAGTTGATCGGGTTGATTTGCGGCTGCTTCAAGCAGGACTTCAGAGTATCCTTGTATCGACGAATTTGGTCTCCTTGGCGGCGAGAGCCCGTCGCGTTGTCTCCGTATAACAGTCGTTGGGGTAGTCGCTCGTCGTCCATGCGCACCAGGTGGCAGCCCCAGCGCAGCTGCATTTGCCTCAGCATGGTGTATATGCTGACGATTCCCGTCCGTTCGAGCACATCAGTGTCGGGGATTCGATCCTGCCAGTTCAGCCTCAGGATGCGACGGAGACAACTGAGGTGAAAATGGTTCAGTCGACGAGCCTGTTTTGTGTATACTGTCAAAGTCTCCGCTCCGTACAGCAGCGTCGGCAGGATGACGGCCTTGTACATCTTCAGCTTCGTGCTCAGTTGGAGACCTTGATGACTCCAGACTGTGCTTTGGAGGCGACCGAAGGCTTGACTGGCTTTCGAGATCCTGTGAGCTACTTCGTCATCGATTTTGGTGTTAAGGGAGAGGGTGCTGCCCAGGTACGGGAAGTTCTCCACCACTTGCAGTTGGGTTCCGTTCACACTGATTTGCGGCGCGTTGGGAGGAGTAGCTGTGTTGGGTGGCGGTTGATGCATGACCACCGTCTTCTGCGTGTTAATGACCAGACCGAAGTTCTCGCTGGCGACAGAGAAGAGGTCTATGCTCCGTTGCATCTCCTCTTCCGAGATGGTGTTCAGAGCGCAGTCATCGGCGAAGAGAAGTTCGCGAACGGTGGTTGTGGATACGCGCGATTGGAAGTGCATCCGCCGTTGATTCAGAAGATGGCCGTCTGTCCTGTAGGCGATGCGGATCCCAGGACGTTCATCACTGTAGGCGTCCATCAGCATGGCAGAGAACATAAGACTGAAGAGGGTAGGCGCCAGCACGCATCCCTGCTACACTCCGTTGGTCACTGCGAATGCCTCTGAGACAGCTCCGTTGTCCGTGACTCGCGCCATCATACCGTCGTTCAGCTGACGCATCATCTGAATGAATCGCTCCGGACAGCCGAATTGCTGCATGATCTTTCACAGTCCTTCACGATTCACCGTGTCGAAGGCTTTCGTCAGGTCAACGTAGGTAGAGCACAGGTGGGTCCGCATCTCCCGGCACTTCTCCTGAAGTTGGCGGGCGGAAAAGATCATATCCGTGGTCCCGCGATGACGACGGAAGCCGCATTGGCTTTCCGGCATAAGGATCTGTTCCAGATGATTATTCAGACGATTGAGGAGGATGCGAGCGAAGATCTTCCCGGCGATGTTCAACCAGGAGATGCCACGGTGATTGCGGCAGACTTGGCGGTTCCCTTTTCGCTTGTAGAGATGCACGATGGTTACGTCTTTGAAATCTTGCGGAACTTCACCTTGCCGCCATATCTCCTGGAAGAGCTCAGTCAGGTGATCCATCAGTTGGGGACCTCCGTGCTTGTAGACCTCAGCAGGGATTGCGTCCGATCCGGGGGCTTACCCGCTAGAGAGCTGCTACAGGGCCCTGATGATTTCCTGGAGAGACGGCGGGAGGTCGAGGTCCACCTTGGTCTCGACCTGCGGCAAACGGGCGATGGCGGATGGGCGATTGAGGACGCCTCGGAAATGCTCGGTCCATCTCTGTAGACTTTGTGTCTTCTCAGTCAGGAGAGTGCTACCGTCTGCGCTGAGGAGAGGAGCAGTGCCCTTCGTCGGCGGACCGTAGACAGCTTTGATCGCGGAGAAGAATAAGTTCTTCCACTCGTTGCTGTCCGCGTATCCTTGAATCTCCTCAGCTGTGCGAGCAGTCTAGGCGTTCTGCATCTCGCGCAGTCGTTGCTGAAGGTGGCGGCGACTGCTGTAAAAAGCAGTTTTGTTGTCGTCAGTGGGGTGGTCTACGTAGGCTTTGTGTTGGCGGTCATTCTCGGAGAGCAGATTGATAATGGCGACGTCGTTGTCGTCGAACCAGTCCTGGTGTTGGCGGCGTGCGCGACCGAGGACTGTTAGTGCCATGGACTGGACCGTGTCTCTCAGTTGACACCAGCAGTTCTCTACGGAAGCGTTCTCGGCAGCGACAGCATCGGCGGCGGCAGCGATTGGAGGGGTGTCTAGCCGTTGAGCTAGCTCATTGCTGAAATGTAGATGGTGAGCGGGCAAATACAACAAGGCAATATTCAGCTTACCTGGGGGTCGCTTTCGTTGTGGCCTCCTACGAGGCTGTAGGCTAATACGCATATTTGAGATGACGACGCGATCGTTGGTCCATACATCAGAACCCGCGATCGCCTTTGTCACCAGCACGTCCAACTGGTCTCGCCTCCGGACGAGGACATAGTCCAGCAGGTGCCACTGACGCGACCGAGGATGCCTCCAGGTGGCCTGCTCTCGCTCCGACACACAGAAGAATGTGGTAGTCAGGATGAGGCGGTGTTCTGCGCAGGTGCGGAGGAGCAGCAGGACATTGTCGTTTGAGCCGCGGAGACCATGGGGACCCAGCACTCCTCTCCAGGCAGCATGGTCTGTGCCGACGCGGGCGTTGAAGTCACCAAGGACAACGAACTTGTCCGCCTTCGACCCAGTCGCCAAGAGGGCGTGTAGGTCCTCGTAGAATTTGTCTCTGACGGCGTCGGGGTTCGTCATCGTCGGAGCGTAGGCGCTGATGATAGTGGCGAATTTGCCTCCCAAGTGAGGCAGGCGGAGGCTCATCAGGCGATCGTTGATGCCCTGCGGCAAACAGAGCAGTCGTCCTACGATGTCGTTCCGAATGGCGAAGGCGACGACCGCGTCTCGTCGCTCTGCCCTGGGGCGACCATTGAAGAAGAAGGTGCAACCGACACCCACCTCCTCCAATTGATCTTGTTCGGAGAATCGAGTCTTGCTGAGTGCGGCGTTGTCCACCTTGTAGCGCGTCAGTTCCCGGGCCACTAGCGCCGTCCTCCTTTCCGGTCGGTTGGACTTCGGATTGTCTGAAAGGGAACGAACATTCCAGGCTGACAGAGTGAGTGGACTCACCCTGCCAGTCTGGCCACGAGTGGGTCGGCGTGAAGGAGGTGGAGAAGAAGATGGCGAACGAGAAGAATAGGCAGAAGAATAGACTGGAAAAGGAGGAAGAGGTAGAATGAGGAGAGCGAGTAGTGCTGTTGTTGTTATTTCGAATTTGGTTGTTTCGACCGTGCGTTTTGCGTCTGCGACAATGGTCAGCCTGCAGACGACGTGGTTCCCCAGCAATATTTAGGCCAGCTTTCCCAGGTCCCCTCCGAAGAGCAGCAGTGTCCGTCCGTAAATAGGGCTGCTTGATGTTCCGGCGCAGCCGAACTCCACTGTGGGTCACGAGATTTTCTTGGCAGTGGAAGAACGACTCGAATTTGCCAATGGCTTACGACATTACCGTAAGCCCGCGGTCTCCTACGGTGCACCAGATGGGCGCGTGTCCACGATGCCGATTCGAAGACCATACCACCGGCTGACGAGCGGCGAATGAGGGTCGTCGCCATCGATAAGTGTTCTTTGACGATGTACCCCAGGTGTGCGGCTGTACATCGCACCAGTCCCTAGCTTCCTCCTACCATGCAGATATCGTCGACAGTTGGCTCACACATCTTTTCTTGAGATAGGACCTGAATTTTCTTGCTTGATAACCCATTGCAGATTCAGGCCTGGTTGACTGGACATTGTCTATCCATCGGTGCCACGTTATTCAAGGAGGTGGGAGTGCGGTAGTTGATTCACAAGTCAATCCTACTATAAGCTAATTCACACACAGTTCACTGTTGTTAGACTCGCTCAAAGGAACACTCGGAGGACGAGGCCAATTGAAACTGTTGGACAATCGGCATCAAGTAAATCCCAAATCACGGAAAGAGTGTCCAAGATTTTTTGCTACATCACACAGTCTTGTATCTAAGCGGCGGATTATCTTTGCTGTAAATGTCCGTAATTATGAGACTTCTACTAGGTGATCACAGAAGTATTCGTCTAGTTCTTTATCCTCGACTGCTACTATTCTGTTCTAAATGTGTATATACTTAATCTACCTTCGGTGAAATGTTCTGTGAGCAGTCGGAACCTCCTTGTTGAGAGACGTAAGTTTGTGAATGGCAATTAACTCGGAAACGGCAAACGCAGCAGAAAATACGGGTTGCCGATGCAGCTCGCCTCCACTGTCCACACTGCCCTTGCACATTCACGCATCGCATGGGTCTACTCGGCCACATTCGCATCCACGACGACCTGCGGTACACAACCGCCGGCTATACCACACCATAACACCCGCCCTCCCTGCCTCCAACACCACGAGCGACGACCACCACCGCCACCACCACCACACATCAACACCCACACACTGTAAGCACCAAAATGCCACCTCCCACGCAAGTGGGAAGTGTGCATCTCGACTCGGTCCCCATGCGGCGACTTGAGTCCGAGATTATCCCGAAACATTGAGCGCCGTGGATAGGATGTTGCTGATTGATGCCCCCACTCGGTCCACGCAGTTTGTCCCGTTGTGTGTATGTTGTGTGTAGTGGCGGACTGGTGGGCTGAGGAGGGGCTGAAACAGCACGTACCACGGCCCTCTCACGCAAGTGAGAGACACGCCGTTCAACCCACGTTGTGCGAAATCCTGGACTGTGTGTGTGTGCCCTCGAAACGGTCCACGTTTTAGATGCGCTGGACCAATACGGGGGCCACATCGGACTCTGGCAGGCGTTATCTGTGCGCAATAACAACTGCCAACATTCCCGTGGTGCGCTGGCGGACCCTGTTGTCGGCATTCGTCGCTCAACTGGACCACTGCCGCCACCCCATTGATTTGTGGTCAAATCCTGGTCAGTGGTGTGTGACCAGGGGGTGCGGAGTGGAGCACCAAGGCGCGGATCCGTCCGAGCCATCCACCTGCGGCCTCGCCCGTCTCCGGTCTTCTTGACTCTGTCTTGACACCGGTCACAGGCGGGGGAGGAGGAGAGAGTGTAGGTAGATGCTACGCAAGTCTACTGGCATTATAAACCCCTGCGTAAGTCACCGTCCCTGTTCCCACAATGCAGTCTGTGGGGCACACGGTGGACATCATCGAAATCGACGGTCGAACTGTCGTGTGTATGCGGGGCCGGATCGTGCACGTGGCGCGCGTAGTCATGGTCAGTCAACCATGCCAGCCACCGCGCCCATTTCTCACTCCAGTCTGCTGACCGGCTCGGACAGCGACTGGGGTGTGGGAATGGAAACGGAGAGTGAGGTCGACGACTCAGCGCGCTTCCTCCTCACTATAAACACTCTGACGCGCTGGAAGCTATCACGGTGCGCTAAAAGCCGTGGCTGCAAAGGTTGCCAACTGACGGGGTATCTTGGACCTCCTCCTTAACGGGAGGCGGTCTGAGAGTCAGGCTGCAATGGCGCCTTCTTAATGTGGTATTTATGGCACTCCCTCTGTGTGGGATCCGAGCCAGGCGTCGGCGGCACGCCTAGGTGCGGCTTCGGCCGTGCCAGCCTCCAATCTCGGTTGATATCCTGGTTATTTGTTGTGTTGACCAGGGTGTGTGGTGGAACGCAAAGGTGAGGATCGATCCCAGCCATCCACATGCGACCTCCCTCGTCTCCGGTCTTCCTGACTCTGTCTTGACACCTGACACGGGCGAGGGAGGAGGAGG